AAAGGAAATGATACCGAGCATTGAGATTAAGATCCTTTTGGCAAAATGGGCTTCTGTGCATGCTATTGAGACATGCTGACTTGTTCATTCCAGAGAAATGGGCATGTTTGAAACTTAGGTGTGATCTGATTTAAGGGTGACTTTTCTTTCTTGGAAAACAGACAGCTTTGGAATCAAAACACTTAAGAACAAGGCTGTCTGTCATGGTGTATCGCAGTGCCAGAGATGGCAATTTATGCTTGTTTACTGCAATAGATTAGGACAGAGTTAAAAATCCATCCCATAAAGAAGCTTAACACGTTATTCCTAATAAACAGCTCCGTTAGGATACTGTGAAGGGCCAAAAACGCCAATTATGGTCCTCAAAAAATCAGCCCATGCACTTGTTCAGTCTGTTAAGTATCATGGAGGACATCTTAGTAATCTCAACAAACAAGAGGCGAGTCCTTGAATGCAAAGATCCCATTTGAAATTTGTCTCTGGAACAGACTTGCCCTCATCAGTCTTAACCAGCACTTATGAAATTGTGTGCCAGCTCCACATAACATGTGGGGGAATAGCTGTTTGTTTGTTTAAAAACTCCAAAATGATACCCCCCATTATTTTAGCAAATAAAGCATTGATCCGGAGAGTTGTTTCTGCAGTATCGTTGTTCACTATAATGCAGTAATCTTTACAAAGGCTTGTTGGGGGAAACCCAGAGTAGTGTCATTGTGAGAATGATTTAAGGCTCCAGACTTGACCAGAGATCTGTGATATCAGGAAAGATATTGGACAAAAAAATCTATCCTTCCCTTGGCTACACTGAAAGCAGATTTTTGTCCACAAATCTTGTCAAATACAATTAAATGTCTTAATCAAAATCACTTAGGCTCTGTCTTCACTGTCAAAAAAAGGTTTGTTTTTGTAGTGAGATAGCTAATTCAAATTAGCCATTTCACTGTAGAATCCTAGTACAAACAATTCACCGGTAGTTCTTATTTCTGTGTAGCTAGTAGGTCAAAACTATACTTCCCAACCTGGGGTTGACCTCAACTGGCTATATTAAAGTAAAACTTCACTGCCTTGTCTTCACTAGAATTTTACATCAAGATAGCAACATTGAGTTAGCTATCTCACTGTAAAAACACACCTTTTTGACAATAAAGGCACAGACTTTGTTTTAAAACTTTAACAGAAAATACTAATTTACCATCTCTTGCTCTTCAGATGGGCGCCCTCTGTATGTTTTGAGGCTGGGACAGATGGATACCAAAGGCTTAGTGCGAGCTCTTGGGGAAGAAGCCTTGCTTCGATATGTAAGTGCTTAAAAAATGACTTGTTTACTGAGAACAAATTTGTTCTAATGTTTGTTTCCTGCCACACCAGAATGATCAGCACATAGGAGATATTTTTCTGTACGCTTTAGCAATCTGTTCTCAGTTTGAACAGCTCGAACCTCCCTGAATGGTTCATTTTAGTATTCTTTCAAACTGTGGACTGATGGCAGAAAGTCAGTTGTATGACAGTTACTATCGTTCTGGGCTGAGACCTTATCACAGCTTCTTGTATAGTTTGTATAGTGCTTGAAACTTAAGCTTCTACATGTGCGCAGGGAGAGAAATGCATTCCTAGGTATTGTATGAGTATCCTATTTATTTTTTATTTATAAAATACACCCAGCCCATAGTCTTGGATGCAATATTTATTTTTAAAGGGAAATTACTTGCCTGTAATTCAGCTTCTTTGAAGGCATCACTGTGGGATTCTCACTGCTGATGTACCCAGCTTTCAAATAGTACAGAACAGGCAAACTCTAAAGAAGCATAATGGCAGCAGTAATTACCATGATCACAAGCCAGCCCCCACTTCTGGGGGTTGCACACACTGTTTCTGGCGGCGCTATATCCATGTACTTAGCTTTATTTGTCTAACTTTAAGGCATAGGTTTTTTTCAGTCTTTTTTGGTAATTATCTTAATTTTTCTGAGGGGAGCCTTTGCTTCCCACTGTGTCAGGAATTAAACAAAGGTTCAAAGGGAAGAAGTTGGGGGTTTAGGAAGGAGCTATGGGAGTTTTTGTCTTATGCCAAAAATCTGAGAGTGAAAATTCTGCACAAACAGTGGTGTCTTCATAGATATAAAGAATTTGTTGACGCTGATCAACAAATGATTAGGGGTCTGGAGCATGTGACTTATGAGGAGAGGCTGAGGGAACTGGAATTGTTTAGTCTCCAGAAGAGAGGAATGAGGGGGGATTTGATAGCAGCCTTCAACTACCTGAAGGGGGGTTCCAAAGAGGATGGAGCTCGGCTGTTCTCAGTGGTGGCAGATGACAGAACAAGGAGCAATGGTCTCAAGTTGCAGTGGGGGAGGTCCAGGTTGGATATTAGGAAACACTATTTCACTAGGAGGGTGGTGAAGCACTGAAATGCGTTACCTAGGGAGGTGTGGTGGAGTCTCCTTCCTTGGAGGTTTTTAAGGCCCGGCTTGACAAAGCCCTGGCTGGGATGATTTAGTTGGGAATTGGTCCTGCTTTGAGCAGGGGGTTGGACTAGATGACCTCTTGAGGTCCCTTCCAACCCTGATATTCTATCTTTCTATGAGTCTATGAAAGAGAAGTGTCCTACTCCACAACATACTGAATGCCCTTCTGATGTTCATTTGCCCCTGAGGGAAAAGGTGGACCCTAAGATTTTGTACAGAATTCTTCACCATAGTATCCAAGCACTAAAATGGGATGCTTGTATGTTTTGTAATCTTCTTATAGCTCTCCTAAAAGTTATTGCACTCAATGCGACTTCTAAATCCAATGTTGCGTGTCTTCACTAGATGTTCTTGTACACTGGTCTGAGGTTAGTGTGGGTTGCTGTAAGGCTCAGGTTATGAAGATTGCATTTTCTCCTCAGTTCCACAAACCCAACAGTTTTAGAACGTTTTCTAAATAACCCTCTCTTTTGTATAGGTTCTTTCTATAAATGAAGAAGGACTGAGGCGATGTGAAGAGAATACAAAAGTATTTGGCAGGCCTATAAGGTGAAACATGAGAATTTTTGTTACTTTTCAGAAATAACATGAGGTCTAGTTTTGTATGTAACACTGTTGGTGTTCAACAAGTTTGTCTACGAAGTTGCTTTATTTCGAGGCTCCAGTTTGAAATAGGATTTGCTCACTAAATCTCTTACCTGCCCCAAAAAGGAATTCAGGGTTTGGAATGACTTCTGTCATAAAGCATTTGACTCCCTTCAGAGCCTATTGATTCCACCTCTTAATCTCCAAAGGGTTACCAGTGCATGGCACTCCCATTTCTCATTTTCTCACTGTAAAGAATTCCCAGTCCTAGCTGACTTGAGGCGTGAGAAGCCAAGTAGAAGACTTGGGTCTCCTTTGTACTGCTATGGCCTTGTGCTGCCCAAAGATACCTTACATGATAAAGGTCAAAGACGAGGCAGCAATGAAATACACAACACCTACTTATTTAAAAAACAAAACACTTTGATTCATATGTCGTTTTGGGAGTCATTCCAGTGGCCTAGAATCAGTACAACATAGCTTTGAGTATACAAGGATGAGCTCTGAATTCATACCCCCTTGGTGTGGGCCTGATTTAGGAAGGCACTGAAACACATGCTTAAATCCTACTGACTTGACGTGTTTTAATGCTGTCCTGTATAGGGAATGTTTTCCTGAATTGAGTCCTAAATTCTGAAATGCAGACTTAAAGTGCAGTGGCACTTTTAAAACATGCACTTGTGTTAGGAAACATGCATGCTGAATAGTAAACTTCCAGTGTAGAACCAGTACTCTTCCCCCCCCCCCCCCACCTGCCCTCCCCCCACTAAAAGCAGTGATTTATTAGGCACTATGATGGTGTCTTCTGTTTGCTAATAGGAACCTTTAACTGGCGATTTTAAATGGTTGTCTATCCTTTGGGGACATGCCTGCCCTATATCAGAGAATAAGCACAGTGATCGTTATACATAGTGTCATAGGTATGCATTGCACTTTATAGTTAAGAAAAAATTCCTGCTCCAAAGATCTTACAATTTCCTGCATCTGCAGGCAGTACAAAATGTAGAGATGAGGTGGGAGGGAGTACTATAGCTGTGTAATGAAGGAAGAGTGTGGCAACTGCAAAACCACCAAAACTTGTAGATCTGTGATACAAAACTGAGTGCTCACATCTCAAACCATCAAATGCTGTGGTGTGGAATAATGAAATTGGATTCTTAAAAAAACTCTTTAAAATTAACAGCTCCTGGACCTGTCTGGTGGATTTGGAGGGCTTGAATATGCGACATTTATGGAGACCTGGTGTTAAAGCATTACTAAGAATCATTGAAGTGGTTGAAGCCAATTACCCTGAAACATTGGGTCGCCTTCTTATCCTGAGAGCGCCCAGAGTATTTCCAGTCCTCTGGACACTGGTACGTTTGTACTTCTAGTATCTGCACGCTTACCTCGGGATACCGGTATGCACTTTACGTGCTCTCTTGAAAACTCATCTTCACCGTGCTATAAACAGGAAATGTTGCCTCCTGGAAACTCCATTTTTATAAAACGCTTTCTTTATAGAATTAGAACAAAAATTCCTAAAAGGAAAAATGTGTTTGTGTAGCCAAATGAATAACTTCACCCATTTACTGTATGTACTTTACATAACACAGGATAAAACATAATATAATTCTTTTGAAGTTACTTGAGGACCTGGAAACCTGACCAATTCTGTTTTTCTTTGTTTGTAGGTTAGTCCGTTCATTGATGACAACACCAGAAAGAAATTCCTTATTTATGCAGGAAATGACTACCAAGGGCCTGGAGGGCTACTGGATTACATTGATAAAGAAATTATCCCAGATTTCCTTAGTGGAGAGTGCATGGTAGGAATTTTAAACTATTAATGAAACAATTGATTTATTGTTTCCTTCTTACATTAAGCCTCGCCCCTCCGCCCAACCTCCAAAACAAAGATTGCCAAGTATAATCTTTAAGTGTGGTCTTGCTCTGCTGTAAAGCATTTTCATGCAGGTTCTTCTGTTTGACTCTGAGGTTGGAATGATTCTTTTTAGTAGCAGCCTTTGCAATCCACCTTGAAAAGAGAAACAGAATGTTTCGGTAAAACCGATCACAAATCGCTAACAGAATACCCTGCACCTATAAATGCATTTTTAAAACGGTCTTCCCCCACTACATGTCAAGACTCAAGTTCCAGCCAGTAGCACTGTCCCATACTGCTTATCCCAGGGCAGGAATGCATTCCGCACACTGTGTTTAGGTTCATAGCTCCATATATGTTAAGGCCAGAAGGGACCATTATCACAAGGTCTGACCTCCTGCATAACACAGACCACAGAACCTCACGTCCAGTAGTTTCTGCATCATATGTGACATTCTCCACTGTTGCTAGAGAAACCGACCACTAGAGGCCTGAACTTGTTTTTGAAGTCTTTTAAAATTAAAATATTTGTCTACATATTAATGATTTAGGTTTTCTAGCTTCATATTTTTAATTATTTCAGATCACCTATAAAGAGTTCTACCCCTCAGTTATGGTACCTGAACACCATTTTGTCATAGTCCTCTCTGTTCCCCACAATCCCCTGCCCCCAGTCCAGATCTCTGGAGGCTGTATTTGAAAACCAGAACTGAATCATGAGCCACAACTCCATGAGGGAAGTGGGGAGGACAAGGATAAGACCAAATTTCGTATTTTCAGATCTCTCCAAATCATAATTTGCCTTATGAAATGTGAATCCAGTCCTGCTATCCTTGTCTCTCCTGTTCCTCCTTCAAATCACCATTAGAATAGCAAGACCCTTTCAATGTAACAACTTCCCCTGGGATCTTAGAGCAAATTAAAGCCTTGTGGTATCCTATATGGTAGGGAAGCATTTATTCCCATTTTATAGCTGGGGAAACTGAGGCCACATACATGGCTAAGCTGGTAAGCTGCTGAGTTGCTAAGTATTGAACCTTGAACAAACAGTTCTCAGTCCTTGCTTACTTCATAAAAGTTTTTCATTTTTTAATATGGGAATCACTTAAATTCATAGCTCTAATATCTCTCCTAAAAATGTGGTTTGATTTTCTTAATATATCAATCTATCATGCCAGTGAATTTGTCTTTACGTGGATTGCGCTGTGTTTAATAGGTGCTCTCTCCCCCACCGTTTTTCTGTCAGACTCATCACAATAACATGTAAGTGCTGGAATTTGATTAATCGGTTGTGTAAAAGCATTTCCCTTTTAGGTTTACTTTATAAATCCCTGTAAATGGTTATTAACTTACTCCCCTGCCTTTCATGGAATTCTATTGAGCTGCTCTGGTCATCCATTTAAAGACCATGGATTCTAATGTACTTGCATACTAGGCGTTTTGGACCAGAGTGTTTACTTTCAACTGGCTGCTACTTGCAGGAGCAGTAGCTTTCACTGAAGGGAGTCTGCTCTATGTAATTTAGAACTATGTAAGTCATTTATGAACCTGGCAGAATCCATTATTTAAGTAAGCAAAAGTGACTTACAAGAAGATAAATCAAAATGCTGAATGCTTCCTGTCTGTTGCAGACACCAGTGCAATATTCTCCTCTTTGTTCTGGTTAGTTCTGGATGAAATCTGAGAGCTTTAAGAATATAAATAAACATAGAAACTGCACAGCTGGTTTCGATATCTCACTACTGCATATATAAGGACCTGTTTGTGATATGATGATCCTTACAGATTAGCAAAGAATTAAAAATAGACCAATTTTAGTAGTGAATTTATTGAAGACTATCTTTGATAACTGTAAGATGGTTTGCATGACCAAGTTCAGGTTGGGTCATGCTAATATATTACTCAGCTCTTAGTGTTTTCCAGGAATGCCTTGCAGAATTGAAGTTATTTCTGGGGGTGCCAGTATGAGAACATGGCTTTGTAAGGATGTTTAAATTCTGAAACGTTTGGGGGAGGCGAAGATTTGTATTGTTGCTTTCATGGCTTTGTTTTAAATCTCCAGTGTGACGTTCCCGAGGGTGGGCTAGTTCCGAAGTCTCTGTACCGGACTGCAGAAGAGTTGGAAAATGAAGACCTAAAACTGTGGACTGAAACTATCTATCAGTCTGCAAGTGTCTTCAAGGGAGCTCCACACGAGGTACAGCTGCAGTCCTCACTCCTCCTCTTTCATCTTGGTCTAGCACCCTGTGTCTTTTTTTGCTCGTATAAAATGAAAGCAGATTAGAACCTGGTCACTCAGTTTGGAATGGTTTAGAGCAGATATTTGGGTCTCCCTAAACACTCAGAATTCAAAAGCTTCTTTTGATCTCTCCTTGAAGCCATGAGTAATTCAAGCCAAAATCAGGATCTGGGTAGCTTGTGAAGAAGTAAGTGTTGGTATTTTTTAAGACTCCCCATCTCTTTTGTGGAGGAGGTAGGCTGACTGGCTACTCTATTGCATTCCCTGACCAGAGCCTGTGAACTACCATTATTAGCTTATAAAAATGCTACTGGCTCTATCCACTTAATGAGTGGGATGACTTCCCCCCTTCATGTAATACAGATATTAAAAACTCAGAACTGAACAAGTTACTCCATTTCCTTTCAAGACCTTTAAAGAACCAGGCACTTTAGATGGCCTGAGCTTTGCATCTCAGTGAGTTTCACTAACTGAACTAATATTTTTAATATATGACCTGCAAATAGAAAACAGCTATTTGTGCCTTCTCTTGCTGATTTAATATGTATAAATGAGCCAGAAAGGTTTTAAAGTCTCTTTTTAACCTTAGAAATATCAGGAGTGAGAGTTTGATTTTTCCTGTTTTGCTAGAGATCTTTCTTGGAAGACCCAGACATGTGGAATGCAATCTCTTATCCCCTGATAGAAGGGACATGGCAAGTTTTATCTTCAGCAGAGGAGTTTTTCCAGTAGCAGTTTGTTCAGGCATTTGTGTTAAATACTAGTTAATCAAAACAATGTGGAAATAGTCAGAATAAGTCATTTCCCCTTTCAGTTAAATTTCACTTGTTATCCTGCATGTTCTTTTCTTGAAGGCTTTCAAAATGTGATGGGAGGAGGGGAGATGATTTTGGGGCCCTCCTGTACACCATAAACAAGCAAGAAAGCACAAACCCATGTTGTAGCTTTTGCAAGTCACTTTGACTTGCCTAACCAAGTGCAAATGTGAGAGCTTTGATGGTATCAGTGCTTTTGTTACTAAAGGTGGTACCTTTTAACCCATTCCCCAAAAGTCCTGATGCTGTAGGAGGAGCATGGATATCTGTTTATCTCTGCTTTATGAGTATATAGCTTTAGAAAAAAAATACTAAGGCTTTCAATAAAGGCCACAAAGAGATAAGACAGAAAAAGGCTCTATCTGCTCATGAAAGCTCACACAGTTCCTATCTCAAAGCAGGTAATATGATAATAAATGAGAGAGTGAATTACTATCTATTCTAGAGCACTCTTAATAATCAAAACCAATCGAGAGCCCACCTACGGCAGCTTTTCTTTCCTGGTAAGAATTTCAGCATTTACTGAGCATATTGCTATTGTCTAATCTAACTCTTCTCCTCTCCCTAGATTTTCATTCAGATTGTGGATGCCTCATCTGTGATCACATGGGATTTTGATGTGTGCAAAGGCGACATTGTTTTTAACATCTATCACTCCAAGCGAGTGCCACAGCCTCCTAAAAAGGACTCTCTGGGCACCCACAGCATTACATCTCCTGGGGGGAACAATGTACAGCTGATAGATAAAGTCTGGCAGCTAGGGCGTGATTACAGTATGGTGGAGTCCCCACTTATCTGCAAGGAAGGGGAGAGTGTGCAGGTAAGATTATTAATTTCGCTGTCAGAGCAAGGCTTTATCTTTTTAAATTTGATGTGTTTCTCCCAGCAGATACCTTAGTGTAGCAATGCAGACCATCAGCAATGGGGCTCGTTGTCTGTCTGCCGGGCATGTCTGTTTGCATCCTTCTGATGGGGTTGTGGGGAGCGAAGGGTAGCTATTGTTTATTCCCTAGTAGCTGATCCCATATACGAAGCTGACAAGCAAGACTGAAGGAATACGCACAAACCACAAGTGCACCTGAATCCAAAAGCAGCCAGTAAGACACATTTTGTAGCCTAGCAGCCTTGATGGTGTTGCTTTCTGACATGAGGCTAGCCAAGCAGGGTGTGTGTGCATTAGGGAGGTTGAGGTATTCTCTAATTAGAGATGGGGCTTGGAAATTGAGACTCAGAGGTTCTGTTCCTGACTGCCCTGGGCTGTGACACTTAGGCCAAAACTTCCAAACTTTAGGCTGCTAATGCTATATTTATGTACCTAAGCAAAGTGGCCTGAATTTGAGAGGTATGGTGCACCCACAGCTGCTTTTCACTGGAAGCTATGGATGTTGATTTATTCTGAAAATCAGGCTTCTTATTCAAGTTGCCTAACTTAAGGTGTCCAAATTTGGAAAATATTGACCTTAACTTCTTCTGCGCCTCAGTTTTGCGTGTAAGATGAGGACGTTTGCAGGGGTGGTTAGCTTCACTGCTTTGAGACAGCTGCTCACTAAAATAAAATTTGCAGATGACACAAAGGTGGGAAATAATGCCAGTACAGAGGAGGACCAGAATATCATAAAAGATGATTTGGAAAACATTGAAAATTGGAGTAATAGAAATGGGATGACATTTAATAGTACAAAGTGCAGGATCATGCACTTAGAGACTAACAACAAAAATTTTTGCTATAAGCTGGATGGGACAGGAGGAGAAGACCTGGGCATACTGGTTGATCACAGGATGACGCTGAGCTGCCAGTGTGAAGCACCCATGAAAAAAGCTAATCCAATGCTAGTATTTGGCTACATCAGGCGAGGTATTTCTAGTAGAGAGAGGGAAGTGTTAGTACCATTATACAAGGCACTGGTGAGACCTCATCTGGAATACTGTGTGCAATTCTGGTTTCCCGTGTTTAAGAAAGATGAATTCAAACGGAAAGAGGTGCAGAGAAGGGCTACTAGGATGATCCAAGGAATGGAAAATCTACCTTCTGAGAGGAGACTTAAGGAGCTTGGCTTGTTTAGCTTAACCAAACGAAGGATATGGGGAGATAAGTTTGC